CCTCGGCCTTCCAATGCCATCACCCATTCAGCTAATCCCTCACCATCCATTTCTTCTAAATTTGTCAGGCATGCCTCCAATGGATCTCTCACAGTTAGGGTCCTATCATCTTCTTGCAGAATTACATCCACTGCCTCAACTAGAGAGCAATTCGCATATTCGCTGGGTCTCCTCATTGATTGCTGAACATTGAATATGACTTCTTCATCATTCAATCTCATTTTAAGTTCCCCAGTCTCACAGTCTATCAGTGCTCTCCCAGTGGCTAAAAATGGTCTCCCCAAAATAAGGGGTATCTCCTCATCCACCTGACAATCCAGAATCACAAAGTCTGCAGGGAACACGAACTTCCCCACTTGCACCAGCACATCATCAAGAATACCAGTTGGTCTTTTCACAGTGCGATCAGCCAGCTGTAGCAGCATAGAAGTCGGCCTGGCTCTACCGATGCCCAATTTGGTGTACACTGCCAGCGGCATCAGATTTATGCTGGCTCCCAAATCACACAACGCCTTTGCAAAGGCATAACTTCCGATTGTGCATGGAATAGTGAAGCTACCTGGATCGGACATCTTTTGAGCCATCGGTTTTGCCACCACTGCGCTGCAGGTCTGTGTCAGAGTTACTGTGGATAGATCCTGAAAATCAAACTTCCTTGACATTAAATCTTTCATCATCTTGGCATAACCGGGCATTTCCCTCAAGGCATCCATCAATGGAATATTCAACTGGATTTGACGCAGCATCTCCATGAACTTTTTGTATTGGTCTGCCTTCTTTTGCTTGACCAGTCTCTGAGGGAAGGGTGCAGGTATCACCCTTTGTGCATTGCTTGCTGGCTTCTCTCTGTTAGGATTTTCTGGCACAAGAGGTGCCACCTGTTTTGCAACTTGCTCGGTCTCCTTTTCTTTGCCTTTTTCCTCCTGACTCTGCTCAACCACCACTTCAGTAAGTTCTGTGGGTTCTTCTACCTCTAATTGAACTGGAGTGGCTGGTGTAGTATTCTTGCTGGCTTGTGCAATTTCCTGGTCTCTATCTAAATCTCTACCATTCCTGAGACTGACTGCCATCAGCTGATTCGGGTTTTGCTCCTTGGGGTTTATGTTTGTGTCTGCAGGTAAAGTTCCCAGAGGACGGTTGTTCAAAGCCATGGACAGCTGACCCAGCTGTGTTGCAATATTCTTTATGGCTGAATCATGCACTGCATATTTTTCCTGTACTTTATTATTTGTCCCAATGAGTTGCTGAAGCATACCCCTAATCTCCACCATGTTGTTATCTTGCTGCTGAGGCGGTGGTTGATAAACCAATTGCTGCTGATTTTGCTGTGGATAACCCTGTGGTTTCTGATAAGGCACTGGCACTAATTGGTTTTGACGGTGCATACCCCCAGGCTGGTGCATATTAGGCCTATACTGCTGATTTTGCTGCGGTCTCCACTGCTTTGCTCCTTGTCTATGACCCCCATAGTTGTTGACATAATTCATATCTTCCCAGACCCCTTGATTTTCACCTTCTCCGCTCCATGAACACACATAGGACTGATTAATACACGGTGTACATAGTCCTCCATTCATTGTATCAACGATGTGCACCTGTTTTGTACCCATCTCATCAATCTTCTTTGTCAGTAGGCTCATCTGGGTCAAGAGTGTGGCCATGTTCTCTTCCTGTGAATTATTGGGATCAAGTGGAACTGAATGCACTATGGGTGCCAGTATTGCACCTCTAGTCATCCACCCCGCATTTTGTGACATCTTATCGAGGAGAATTTTGCACTCGGTGAATGTTTTGCTTAAGAAAGCACCTCCAGCTGAAGCATCCACATTCGCTTTCAAGTTGTCAGCTAGACCCATGTAGAATCTCTGGCCGAGCATCTGGTCTAGAATGCCATGATGAGGACACTTCACAAGCATCCCTTTGAATCTCTCCCAAGTTTCTTGCAAGGACTCAGTGGAATGCTGCCTATACTGCAATATGTCATCAATCTGCTGGTCTTGTTAGGCGGATAGAACTTGTTCAGGAACTGCTTGACTAATTCCTCCCAAGTGGTAATAGAGTTGATAGGGAGCGAATTTAACCAAGTCTGAGCTGCCCCGGTTACTGAGAATGGGAAAAGGAGCAGTTTGATAGCTTCAGGGGTCACATTAGGCTGCCTTTGGGTCATGCAAATTGACAGAAAATTTTTCAAGTGTTGTTGCGGGTCTTCAATGCTTGACCCGGAGAACAGTCCCTTATTCTGCAGCAGATGCAGCATGTTGTTGGTGATCTGGAATGTCTCCGCTTGAATTGCAGGCACAGCTATGGCAGTGGCCAGATTGTCAGCTGTAGGCTGTGCCCAGTCATAAAGTGCAGCCTCGGTCACAAGAGGTGCCACTCCTCTGACATCTAAGTCAGCTTGCTCATTCCTGATGTTTCCGTTGGCGTCGTTTACGTCACCCATGTCAAAATCGAGTTGGTGTGTTGGTTGAGGTTGTTGAAGTCCTTTGTTGGCACGGTTCAATGCCCTGAATATTTTCTCGGGGTCTGAGAGTCCTTCTAGTAGTTCTCCAGTCCTCGAAGAATTTCTAGGCATACACCTGCTTTCCACAAGATTTCAAACGTTAGAATTTCAATGAAAAGATTGGTATAGAGAAAACTGACTACACTTAGAAGTTTTGTATTTCTTTCAATTGTAATTGATAACACCGTTAGGTTCCCCGGCAACGGCGCCAAAATTTGATCACGCTCAACTGAGTCTCACAAAAGACTATGCGGGCGTTGCAAATATAATCCGAGTATTATTGCCAAGAGTCGAACCACAGGGAACTAACCTATCAATCACTACTGACAGATTTACTAAATTCACACAATATGTTTTCCCAAACTTTTTGATTCACAATGGTTGATTTTCTAACAACTAAAGACTGAAAGTAATTAACGACTGAAAATTAACTAAACTTGATGTGTAAACAGTAGGAATAAGGTCTAAGGTAATGGTTTCCCCCGTTGGTAATTTCCTTGGTTGTATATGTCTTATAACTACGATTTAGTTGTCTCTAACAATCATGAACGCTCAAGCTATCATAATTCTTTCTCAAGTAATTATGATAATCTACTAGACGCACTCTCTCAAGCTACGCTAGCTAATTTCACAATACAGTTCACTTAGATTGCACCCGAGGTATCGTTATCTCTAATCCAACTTCTAAACCCTCGGTTATGACTCTCGTCTATACTCCGGGAGTGATGTTGTTCATACAATCACCTAAATATGCACTCTCTCTCAAGTAGATACATAATAAATAGGGACGGATAATTGAGGGCCCTTTCAACTAATCCACAATCAAAACATAGATGAACAACTAGAGATTAACAATCAAATCCAATTATATTAATAAAACAACCAAGTCATCCCCAACGGGTTCCACCAAAACCTTAGATTAAGGTTTTTAGCTACTCATAACAATGGAAAAATAAACTACTAAAAGATTCATAATCGTAAATTGCAAGAAAAATAAAGAAGAATAAGAGTAATGATGTTTTGGGTGATCTCTCACACTTGTTTTCCTTGCCAAAGTACTCTCTAAAACATTACATGCCTCCCTTGGGCGAGTTCTATTGTTTAAAATAGGGTTTTGGGCTAAGAATTCCGTGTTTTGCACTTCTGTCCCTCAATTTTACGCCTCCTGCCGCGGTCCTACCACCGTTACGCCAGGACCGCGGCCAAATCACCTCTCAGAATCCGCAACACCTTCCTGCCGCGGTTCGACCGCGGTTACGCCAGGACCGCGGCAGTCCATCTCCAGTTCTGGTTTTGTGCATTTCGCATGGTGCACTTGGCGGATATTGTGCGATTGGCCTCTTTTCCTCCATAATTGATGCCAAAAGTACTCCATAGCCTTCTTTTATTGTATGTAACCTGCAAAGCATGAAAAGCATTAATCAGAGCATTTTGTTATCACTTTTACCATAAAAACTATACGAGAAAGTGGTTCTTTTGGGCTTAATTATAGTTCAATTCACCTATTATCAAGCGCATCAATAGCTTCATCTATAATTGAAACCTCTTATTCTGGTTCATTTTTTTAAGCTAATCCTTAAACCAGCTTGCTCATCAATAACAAAGTTTTCTACAACTTTCAGTGTGGCAACTATTTCTTCCAATCTTTGACTGAACAGTTCACAAAAGAGATTGATCCGGTTGGCCTGAAAGGGTTAAAAAATCAAGATTTCTTGTCTTCTTTTCTGGAGAAAGCAAGCAAGATTTCTTGTTATAGCCCGATTTATTTTATTCTGTCAACATTTGGTTTCTCCAACGACATTAGATGCAGGACAGACGATAAAACATCAGCCAAGAAGGTACAAATGTAAAGATTCTTATTTTCTGTTAATAAGAAGAGATGTGTTTAATTCAGTCACTTAGGATAATCAAGATGTGCAACAATTTTGCTGTCCAATTATCAGAATCCTTCAGTAACTTAGACTAAGTATTATGGCTTCTAATGCATTTTAAATACTTATAGAACATTCGTCTTTTCCTTTTCATTTTGTTTGTTAGTTCCGAGACATCATTGTATCAAGATTAGCGCTATCTTGTTTAACTCCAGGGTCCTATTGACAGGAAATTTGGGGATTCTACGGAACGAAGTGAAACTTTTGATATTTCAGTTGTATAATCGGTAAGATATTCTGGCTAACAACGGAATCATTTGTTTGAATGTCAAGTACCATTACAATAACGTCACACCAAGTTGGTGACAGAAAATCTACAAAAATGAGAATGGCTCAACCAGCGTCTTCTAAGTAGACTATGATATGGTCATGGAGTCCAAAAGTACCATCTCGATACTCCGTTTTTCTTTTTGGTTTATGGTAAACCCCTCTAACGCCCAGGAGCCAAAGAGTTATTTTTTCTCACTTTGCTTTCTTGGTGACTCGAACCTCCAAGCCCATGATTGGAGGTGGATGGCCCTGTCCACTAGGCTATTCCCCTTGTCAAAGTACCAATTTCACAACTCCTAGTCTAGCAACCAAACTGCAAAATTTGTTTCATGACTGTACCTGAACAAGAGAGATAAATAAGTCAGTTTCAGAAAGGATACCTCTCTAACATATAACCGTCAGCTTTTAAGTTCTAAAATAATACTTACGAGAAATGCATAAAATACTACAAAAACAATCAAGCAAAGAAACAAGGCAAACCACTGTCTTAGTCTTTGAATCAGCAAGACTGGAATTATCATATTTACATAAAAGGAGATTGTGTCAACAGAAAAGGAGCCTAGGGTGCAAAGACAAAGAAGAATATTCCTAAATGATAGCAGAGTGCAGGTATGTCAAAGCTCCAATTCCAATTATTAATGCGACAAATTCAGCAAGCATGACGATACTCAAAGCACAGTAATCTAGCGAAGAATTTATTATTTTTTATCTCATTAGGACAGACTAAACAAACATAAAGTAACCATAGAAAGAACACGACTACTTTATATTCCATGTTTACTCATCTACCCTAGCCAAAATAACTGTGAGATATACCCTACAAAAGAATTGACATTTTGTTTTAATTTGTCCTCTTTTAGATTATTTTGATTTCTTACTGGATTTAATCATTAAATCTGAAAAATCAGTTTGATGGCGCATGATTACAAACTTTCTAAATTAGTTTAATCTTAAAGTATAAAATGAAAATCGAAACATACCAAATTTATTTGGCATTAGTATAACATTTTTGAAAACTCAAAAATAAAAGTACCCGTATTTATATGGTGTGGATAAACTATTAAGTTTTTACACCTACTAAAAATAGGACCTTCGACGAACAAATCAAATCCTTAACGGGTTACCTTTTTCCTTCTTATTTTCTCCCTTTTTTCCACACCCAGAAAACCAGCTCAAACTCAAAGAAATTCACCCAAACCATGAGAAGCAATCACTTAATAAAATAGTCTAACCTTAAAATGAAAGCCTTAAGTGCTATTTATACTAGGGAGGGTATAGAGCTAACAAGACCTAAATACCCCTAAGCTATCACTTATTATAACTATAGACTCATTACATGTAGTCTTCAATTGATAGCCATATTATGCACGTATAGCTAGTGAATGCTACCTTGGCTCATATCACTACGGCAAGGGCTTCACCTACCTTACCCTAGAGCCGCCCTTGCCTCTCTGTAACTGATGCTCCCAGGTAGCAAAGATTGTGCAGTTTGAGGAGATCTTTGGCATCACAATAATATGAAGTCGCATCTCTGTAACTGATGCTCCCAGGTAGCGAAGATTGCAAAGATTGTGCAGGTTGAAGAGATGTTTGGCATCACAATAATACGAACCATAAATCTTCAGTCTCCAGTAACATACTCTCCAATCGCAATTTATCAACTCCGCAGACTTGAAAGAATATGGAAGGTACAGATGCCTAAGTTTTTTCAGCTTCCACAAGACATTGGGTATGATCATCACATCATTTACCCGTAAATCAAGAGTCCGCAAGTTTGAGAATTCGCCAATAAATGATGGCAACTCCTTCACATAACAGTTTCTTAGACCTAGGTATTTCAGATTAGTAAGTTATTCAATTCCTTCAGGAAGCCCTTTCCCCTGAAATCTAATATCCTCGAAGTCCAAGACTCTAAGCAATTTGAAATCTTGAGACTAAAGGATCGAGGCCACGATAAAGCATGTCGATTTGGGTAAGGATTCAGAAATAAGAGAGATCGAACTTTACTGGATACTTTCTTCTGCAAGCAAACATCATTTCCAGCTTCACACTCGTCAAGGAACACGGAAAGTATTCTTGTTGTACCATAAGAATCCTTTCGCGGTCCATATGCTAGATGAAGCACTTGAAAAACGTTCTCTTCCTTTCCCTTCAATAAGCAGTGCTCCCGCAGCAGGTCATTAATAGGGCAATTTCGAACTACTCTCTCCATGCCCTCCTCTTCTTGCATGCAAATCAAGTTTCTGGCTACCAATTGATACAGATAATGCTCTGCTCTGTCGATCAATGTTGTTTCACTTTCTCCATTTTCTGATGCTACAAAGCCCTCAGCTACCCAGAGATTGAATAACTTTTCTGCTTCTATGTCTACTCCTTTTGGGAATAGGCCCAAATAAAGAAAGCAACTCTGCAAATGGTAGGGCAAGTAATGGTAGGTCAAGAGCAAGGTCTTTGGTATCTTGGAAAATACTAAGGTATCTTTCTCGAGGTAAAGATATGAGTCAAAATTTTGAAGTACAGACTTCCAATGAGCAACAGAGTGCTCCCTGGCCAAGACGCTACCAGCGCAGACAACTGCTAATGGTAAGCCAAAGCACTTGCTGACCACAGCCTTGGCGATTTCTTCCACAACTTGGTTGGCTTTAAAAAAATCTAGGAAGGAAGGCTGTCTCTTCAAAAGGACCTCCCAACATTCATCCGCAGATAATCTCTTCATCTCAAAAGAGACCCCCTTCTCAGCAATGTTCTTTGCCACATCTCCATTACGAGTGGTCACCAGTATTCTACTAGCCGATTTGGCAGTAGGTAAATATGCACAGTGGCGAAGCCAGAAATATTTTCAAGGGTGTTCAAACTTGAAAGAAGTAGAAAAAAAATTCCGACAAAGGGTGTTCAATATAGGTTTTATATATCTAAAATTAATATTTTACTTATATACACAATATAATTTTTCGTAGTTTTTCGGCGAAGGGTGGTCAGTTGACCACCCTTTGCTAAAGGTGGCTTCGCCCATGATTATATGCACTCAGCTTAACCCAAGCATCCATTGACCACATATCCTCCAGAACAAGTAAGCATTTATTTGACTCTAGAGACTCGTAAACTTTATGGGCTAACTCTATTCGAACTTTGCACTCTAACACTTGTTTTTTACTCGAGCGGTTAAGCTTTGTAAGGATATCGCGCAAGAGGAAATCCATATCGATATGGAAATCACGGGGCAGAACAATGTAAGCGAAAGCATCAAATCTTTGGCCATAAAAAAATAGCTCTTCGTACATCGCCCATGCAAGAGTTGTTTTGCCGATCCCTCCATACCGCAAATAGCGATAATTGGGGATTCCTTAAATCCATACTGGAAAAGGGATTGCAGCGTCCTTTTCTTTTCTTCCAAGCCAACAAGAACATCCTCGTTAAATGGGTTAGCAAAACGGTAATCACTGCAATTGGAATCAGTATGATTGCTCTCTACTGGGATCAGGGCCTTCTTCACACTGCAGCAATTTGCCAACTTTTCATTGAAATAATGGATCTGCTCCATGATAAACACCAGCTGGGACTCCAACTTCCGGCGGCCATAGACAGTAGAGATACAATTTACGCATTTTAAGATACCTAATGATCCTCCGACATCAACAGTGTAAGTATCGATTACATCTTCAGTTTCAACAAGGATTTTTTGGAATTCATCCACAATTTCAATAACCCTCTCGTCACCCACTTTAGCATTTTTCACCAACCCTTTGGTTTGCAACAGTTCCGACTTGAACTCCTCCACCGTTCCCTCTAAAAGTTTCACTTCATCACTTTTTTTAGAAATAAATTATGTGTTTCGAGGCCTTAAAACCTCCCTTTTGTCTCACCTCAATTTGCCTACGCAGTCTGGGCGTGTATTTGGAAAGCCATTATGTGGATCTGTGAAAAATAATAAATTTTGCTTTTAAAATGAATTTAAGTTGACTTCGGTCAACATTTTGGGTAAACAGACCCGGACCCATGATTTGATGTTCCTGGAGTATCCGTAGGAAAATATGGGACTTGGGCATATAACCGGAATTGAATTCCAAGGTCCCAAGCCCGAGAAATAAATTTTCGAAGAAAATTGTTTAATTGAAATTTTAAGAGTTTTTGGAAATTTGGATGTATTTGAAATTGATGGTATCGGGCCCGTATCTTGGTTCCGGAGCCCGACACAGATAAAAATTTGGTAAGAAACGGACTTGAAATGACGTGAATCGGACACTCGGTTGTGAAATTTGAAACTTAAGTGTTTTTGAGATTTTTCTTTGATTTTGATGTTAAATACGTTGTTAAGGATGTTAATTTGGCGATTTGATCGCACGAGTAAGTCCATATGATATTTTTGAGTTAGTATGCATGTTTGGTTTGGAGCCCCGATGGCTCGGGTCAGTCTTGTATAGGTTTTGGGATGTTTTTACACTTGGAAAAGTTGCAGGTTTTCAGTTTCTGGTATGCTGAGGTTTAGTTCTTCGCGTTCGCGGATGGACTCACGTGAACGCGAAGGGTAAGTCAGGCTGAAGGAAATTTCCTTCTACGCGAACGCGAGAACCAGGTCGCGAACGTGAAGCTTTGGGGGTGCTACCCTTCGCGAACATGGACCTGCTATCGCGAAAGCGAAGGCCTTTTGGCCGGGACTGGGGGAAAGGGGTTTTTGTTCTACGCGAACGTGGCCACTGGCCCGCGAACGCGAAGACTTGAGGAGCCAAAGCTCCGTGAACGCAAAGCAACTAGGCTTGACCCTTCGCGAACGCGACAGCCCATTCGCGAACACGAAGAAGGCCTGTCCAGTGAATTAAAAGCAGTAGCAAAATCGGGGGTTAGCCCATAATTTCATATTTTCAAAACTAGAGAGCATTGAAGCGATTATTAAAGAACAAGTTCTTCCCCAAAGCATTGGTATATGATTCTAAATCTTTTTCTTTCGATTTCCCATTGCATTTCATCAATCTTCATCTAAAAATCTAGGGTTTTTATGGTAGAAATTAGGAATTTGGGTAGAGTTAGGGCTTTTTGATTAATTGGGATTTAGACCTTGTTTTGGGGTCGGATTTCGAAACTAATTGCATATTTGGGCTTGTGGGTGAATGGGTGATCGGGTTTTGGTCCGAACCTCGAGTTTTGATCAAGCGGGCCCGGGGTCAATTTTTGACTTTTTGGTAAAATGATAGAAAACCTATAATTAAGTATTGGGTATGAATTCTTTGGCATTTATTGATGTTGTTAAATTTATTTGGACTAGATACAGGTAATTTGGAGGCGAATTCTAAAGGAAAAGTGGTGTTTGAGGCTTGAGTTGGCCGTGGAAGTTTGAGGTAATTGTTTGGTCTAACCTTAGCTTGAGGGATTAGGAGTTGTGTCTTATTTGCTATGCATTAACTATGGAGTACGACGTATAGGCATGGTGACAAGTATCTATACATCGGTGTCAAGCATGCCCGTGAGTCTTGTATTGTAATCGTTGTGACTCCGTTGTGGTTTATTCATGCTTAATATGATGATTATCATTATTGTTCCCTTGCCGGGATGTTGTTGTTATATTATTGTTCCCTTGTCGGGATGTTGTTGTTATATTATTGTTCCCTTACGGGGATGTTGTTGTTGTGTTATTGTTCCCTTGCTGGGATGTTGTTGTTATATTATTGTTCCCTCACCAAGATTCTTTTATGATTGGTATTGATATATGAAATAGGATCGGGTTGCACGCCTGCAACGGTACTATATGAATGGGAGCGGGTTGCACGCCTGCAACAGTACTATATGAAATGGGAGCGGTTTGCACGCTTGTAACGGTATTATATAAAATGGGAGCGGGTTGCACGCCTGCAACGGTACTATATAATTTGGGATCGGGTTGCACGCCTGCAACGGTATTACATGTGCACTTGTTTCTTATTTCATTATCTTTTGCTGGTAATTGAATTATGGCGTTCTTTGCATTTCTGTATTGGTTCCTGTTGTTGAGTGATATACCCCGCAACATGTTTCCCCCTCCTATCTTTAACTGTAAATACTTGCCTTTATATTCCAATGTATATGATTTAACTGCATAGGTTTATTTGGTAGTCTGGTCATAGCCTCGTCACTACTTCGCCGAGGTTAGGCTAGCACTTACCAGCACATGGGGTCAGTTTTGCTGATACTACACTTTACACCGTGTGTAGATACCGATACCGGAGCGTTTGGACCGCAGCGAGGTTGTTGCCTTCAGTCCAACAGGCGACCCGAGGTAGTCCTGCAGACGTCCGCGGACCTTGGCGTCTCCTTTTATCTTTCCATTATGTTTCCTCTATGTATTTCAGAAACAACTTTTTATTTATATTTCGGACCTCTATTTGTAGTATTCCTAGACGGTCTGTGAGATTGTGACACCAGTTCTGGGTAGTTTTTTTATTTATGGAATTGTATCGGCATTATTAAATTGTTATCTTTCAATCTTCCGCTATTATTATTTCGGTTATTTTTATAATGTAAATTCACAATTGTTAAGGGATTAAAAATGAAAAGGTTTGAATAATTGGAATATCTGGCTTGCCTAGATTTCACTAGTAGGCGCCATCACGACCCCCGAGGGTGGGAAATCCGGGTCGTGACAAGTTGGTATCATAGCTCTAAGTTACTTAGGTCTCACAATTCACGGACAGGCTTAGTAGAGTCTGAGGTATCGGTACGGAGACGTCTGTATTTATCCCTAGAGGCTACAGAGTTAGGAAAAACTTCACATCTATTCTTTCCTGTTGTGCGGTTTGGTTTCTCAATGCTAATTGAATTTCTACTCTATTCTTTCGTAGATGGAGAGAAAACGCGCTTCCTCATCCACTGATCAATAGCCCGAGCCCCTAGCAACAGCTCCTACGAGGGGCATAGGGCGAGGCCGAGGCCGTGCTAGAGGCCGAGGCAGGGCAGAGCTCAGCCCAAAGCAGCAGCACCAGTTGCGGAGCCTCAGGTTGAGTTTGATGATGAGGTTCCGGCCCAGGCAGTTTCGGTGGGCCCAGCTCAGGTCCCAGAGGGGTTCATTGCTACCCTAGTACTCTAGGATGCTCTGGTCCATCTAGTGGGCCTTATGGATAGTGTCACCCGAGTAGGCTTGCTTCCTGTAGCACCAACCATCTCTCAGGCTGGAGAAGGAGCCCAGACTCTTGCTACCCGCACTCCGGAGCAGATGGTTCCCCAGTTTCAGACTCCAGCAGCTCAGCCAGTTGGAGCTGTTCAGCCGAGTGTGGTAGCTTAGACCGGTGATGGAAAAGCTGTATCTGCTGATGCCTTGTGGAGATTGGACAGGTTTACAAAGCTCTTCACTACCACTTTCAGCGGTGCATCTTCTGAGGATCCCCAGGATTATTTAGACAGATGTGATGATGTTCTCAGGAACATGGGGATAGTGGAGACCAATGGGGTCGACTTTGCTGCTTTTTGCTTACCTGGATCCGCTAAGACTTAGTGGAGAGATTATTTCTTGGCTAGACCAGTTGGGTCACCATCTTTGACTTGGGATCAGTTTTCTCAGCTATTTCTGGAGAAGTTTCTTCCTATCACTCAGAGGGAGAACTATCGGAGGCAGTTTGAATGTCTCTAGTAGGGTTGTATGACTGTTACTTAGTATGAGACCAGGTTTATTGATTTGGCCCGTCATGCTCTTCTCATACTCTCCACTGAGAGGGAGAGAGTGAGGAGGTTCATTGAGGGACTCGTTTAGCCTATTCGACTTCAGATGGCTTAGGAGACGGGATCGAGATTTCCTTTCAGGATGCGGCCAATGTGGCTAGGAGGGTTGAGATGGTTCTATCACAGGGGATGGTCAGGGGTCTGACAAGAAACCTCGTCATTCTGGTAGGTTCAGTGGTGCCTCGTCTGGAGGCAGGGATTATTTTGTTAGGGGCCATCCTTCCAGGCCGTTTCATTCAGCACTACAGGCTTCTCACAGTGCCCCAGGTGGCCGTGGTTCTCACATGCAGTATTCTGATCAGCAGTCTTATAGTGCATCGCCAGCTCCTATCAGTGCACCTCCGCTTCAGAGTTTTCAGGGTCGTCAGTCCTAGCAGTCGAGGGCTTGTTTTACATGTGGAGACACGAGGCATATTGCTAGATTTTGCCCTCGAGATCCGAGCAGCTCTCAGCACCAGGGTTTCCATGCCATGGTTCAGGCACCGAGTGTTTCACCTCCCGCTCAGCCAGCTAGAGGTGGAGGTAGAGGTATTAGGGGTGGAGGTTATGTCGCTAGAGGTGGAGGCCGTCCCAGAGATGTGGTTCAGAGTGGTGGGGCCTAGCCCCGATGTTATGCTCTTCCAGCCAGGCCTGAGGCTGAGGCTTCCGATGCAGTCATCACAGGTACTGTATCCGTTTCTAGTAGGGATGCTTCAGTGCTATTTGATCTAGGGTCTACATACTCCTATGTGTCATCTTATTTTGCACCGTATTTGATCATGCCTAGTAATTTCTTGAGTGCTCCTGTTTATGTGTCTACACCGGTGGGTGATTCTATTGTAGTAGATCGTATTCATCGTTCTTGTATAGTTGTGATTGGGGTCTTGAGACCCAAGTAGATTTGTTACTATTGGATATGGTTGATTTTGATGTCATATTGGGGATGGACTGGTTATCACCTTACCACGCTATCTTGGACTGCCATCCCAAGACTGTGACCTTAGCCTTACCGGGGTTGCCTTGTTTAGAGTGGAGAGGGACTCATGGTCATTCTAGCCGTAGTGTTATCTCATATATGAAGGCTCGGCATATAGTCGAGAAGGGGTGTTTGGCCTATTTGGCATATGTCCGTGATTCTAGTGCTGAGGTTCCTTCTATGGATTCTGTGTCTGTTGTTCGTGAGTTTCCTGAGGTTTTTCCTTCAGATCTGCCGGGTATGCCACCCGACAAGGATATTGACTTCTCCATTGATTTAGCTCCAGGCACTCAGCCTATTTCTATTCTGCCATATCGTATGGCCCCGCCTGAGTTGAAAGAATTGAAGGAGCAGTTGCAAGACTTACTTGATAAGGGCTTTATTAGACCTAGTGTCTCACCTTGGGGTGCGCTGGTGTTGTTTGTTAAGAAGAAGGACGGATCGATGAGAATGTGTATAGATTACCGGCAGTTGAATAAGGTTACAATCAAGAATAAGTATCCATTGCCGAGGATTGATGATTTGTTTGATCAGCTTCATGGTGACAAGGTATTTTCGAAGATTGACTTGAGATCTGGCTACCATCGGTTGAGGATTAGGGCATCTGATGTCCTTAAGATAGCTTTCCGCACTCGGTACGGGCATTATGAGTTCTTGGTGATGTCATTCGGGTTGACAAATGCCCCAGCAGCTTTCATGGGTTTGATGAACCGAGTGTTCAAGCCTTACTTGGATTCGTTCGTATAGTCTTCATTGATGACATTTTGATTTATTCCCTCAGCCGGGAGGAGCATGAGCAACATCTGAGAGTGGTTTTTCAGACTTTGAGAGATAGTCAATTGTATGCTAAGTTTTCAAAGTGTGAATTCTGGTTGAGTTCAGTTGCATTCTTGGGTCATGTTGTATCAGCAGAGGGTATTCAGGTGGATCCGAAGAAGATAGAGGCAGTCAAGGATTGGCCTAGACCCGCATCAACTA